CTAGCCCTTTCCATTCTGAATGTGGAATGTCATACACACATGCAAGTGTGAGGTCCAAAAAGGGCACCAGATTTTGCAGGGGCGACGGTGTCTCTTGAAGCCCAATACTCTGGAAATATGTGTTCTGATCCCCTCACCTGTCAATCCCCATTGCATGGGCTTGCTTGATACCAGTGTTGAAATGGTATCTGCCATTAGAAACCACATCATAGTACAAGTCCCCGCGTGAACCTCTAGGGCAGTAGCATGACTGACAGCCAATCTCTGCTTGATGTGCCAGGGATCCACTGTTTGCAGCTTGCTGTGGCATATCTGCTGTAAGCACTAGCAAACTGATGTTAACCAATGTCATCTCACCACTGCATAACACCCACTTCCTGGTCCTCAGCTCACTAAACGCCTCTTCAAAGGATGAAACCACATCGGCCATTTGTGCACCATGGGGACCCAGTGTCAATGTAAAAGTATTGACCACCTTGCTCCACTCATGGTACAGCAAGCCTGCAAGTGTCATATAGAATGCCTTCAACACCTGATACATGTTGTGATGAATGCCAAAGTCATCAATGAAAATCAAAATCAGTAGTGACTGCACTTGCTGGTTAACTGAGTGTCAGGCTTCCAGGTAATTCCATCCATACTCCATAACTTCAAGCTCTGCCCGCAATGAGTGCAACTTAATAGTTGATCGCAACTGCCAAGTCTTTGATGTCAGGACAAAGGGGACTCTTACTGTGGGTGACACTGGTTGTAGCCCATGATCCAAGGCCATATCCACCCTGGCATGAACAGAACAGTCTTCAATCTCCAGGCAATTATCCTCAATAAGCACAAACTCACATCTGTTCATATCCAAATCAACAGGAAGACATGATGATAGTATCACCAGTTGTACTGTCAAGACTGTCTTTCCATAATGGATTGACCTCAATTGCTTATCCACACCAACAAAGGTGACTTGACCATAATGGACATCGTCAAATAGTGTACATGCCATAGAAGTGAATTCAATGAAGTCTCCAGGAAATATGATCTGATTATACCTTGACAATGCGTACTCACCTGACACTGTGCAAACAGAAGAGCCCCATGCCCTTGAATGCCATAGCTCCTGTGGGTTATCCAAGTATTCCACCATCCCAAAATGAAGTGTGTTCATACGCTCTTGTGACTGCAAAATGGCGCTGAATAATTGATCCAAATCATACCAGAACTGTGGGGACTTGACCTGTTTCCTTCCTGTTGCACTCCTTTCAGTGGACTGGATATGTTTTGGCATGTCAATATCACATTGATGCAACAGCAACATGGGCAATTCATTGCACATGTGGACTTTCAAAGTATCCAATTTCTTAGGAAGTGCCCGCACTTCCTCACAATCCAATAGGCACAGCACCTCTCACAGTTGGCTATATGTGTCACATGAAATACATGCACTCTCTGCCCACAGTGCCAATGCAAAATGGAATCATGGCAGTCCACCGGGCCCTGGATCTTTATATGAGTGATATGGAAAAGGCTTTTCCAAGTGTTTCATATTCATACCCTTTGGATTTGAGGTCAGATGGATTGTTGGGTGACTGTCAGATTCTATGCAATGCACGCATGTCAAGGGAATGGGCATCATGCCTGTGATGATTGCTAAGGTTAGAGAGGTCAAGGAATGTATGGAAATCTGACTGGGTCACCTGAACTTCAATGGGCTCCAGTATTATGCTGACTTTGCCCCCAGTGTTTAGACTGGGATGGCTTCCATGAAACATCATCATCAAGTCTCCGTTTACGCGGTACCATTTTGTTGTTGATGAAGTTCAAGTGCATGGAGCATTCCTACTCCCTCTAAATGCGCCATGGAACAACATCATCCCGGTCCACCACATTAGACCTATTCTGGCAATCACATGTACTCCTGAGTAGAGCTCTGCTGGAAAGCATACATGAGGTTATAGAGTGTTTGATAGGTCATTGTAGGTAGTGTCAGGCGCTTCATTCATTAAAGGTCCCTATTATCTATCTACATGTGTATATATTATTTGTATATATATATATATATATATATACAGACTCTGTCGAGCTATAGGAAGTACACCACACCCAATATGAATGCACAAGTAACATGATATAAAACAAATAACATTCATTACAGCTAGTTTCATTCTAAATCATCTGTCTCAAATAATCTCCTGCCTCCCTGGTTCAAGTCATTTTCTGTTGTGAGTGTCTCCTGATTCACTTCTTCATCTTCATGTATATATCCCAAACCATCATCAACATAATTGCCATTCTCATCAACATAGTTGTCATCATCATGCTCATCATCATGCTCATCATCATTGCTGTATCCTTCTTGATGTAGAGCCTCATCACTGACTTCCCCATTGCTGTCCTCATTCATGTCCATGGTATCATGTCTCCATTGACAACGCCTGACTGAGTCCACATGCATTGGAAAATCATGCACTGTTATCTCAATCTGCATAGCCTTCTGTCATGTATACAGCCCGTCAAACACGCTGAGAAGTGACCCACAGTCATATCTACATAGCCTGGGGTCTCGCTGATTCTGTCTTCCATACAGGGAACACAGCCTAGCCCGTGCAATGAGCTGTATACAGACATCTGGCATGGCACAGATTAGAAAAAAGCCAAGGGGGCAATTGGAGGACAACTCACATCTGGCCCATCAAATCCCATTTGGAGAACATTCATTCCATCTAACAACTTCTTCTGCCCATGGGAAGACATGAGACAGCCACCACTCCTGGAAATGCTCTGACAACCACGCACCCAGTATCTTAAAATCTTGCACTTCTGACAGTCTATCCCCTGCAATCACTGCAATGTCTCTAAACACACAGTCTGCCTCAGTCAACATTTGATTCTTCCATGTCTTGTACAGATCATGGACTTTTTGCACAGCAGTCCTGAACATTGCATCATTGGCAGACATTGAAGGAAAAACATGCTCAACAGGTTCCTCAACCTCCTGATTGTTGAGACTCATGATAAACTGCTGTCAAGCAAGCTGGTCAAGCTTCAGGAAGGCATCATGTGCAGATATTTAGGTGTGGCTTCCATCATCACAATGCATGAAGAAAAAGCTACCATCTGAATCAATGGACCCTGCCTCACTGCCAGGAGCTTCAGGCAATGACAGCAGACCTAATATTCAATTTGCTGTATGCACTTTTCTAGGTACAGGCAGGGCATGGGAAACCTGGTTTGGGCCTGGATGTGGCGTGCTAGGTCCAGCCTGGGCACTGGATGGGCTCCGGGTCTGTTGTAGAGTAGGAGGCCTGGTACTTGTCACCAGTGCATCCCGAGGCGATTGTGAGACACGGGGTGGCATTACCTGGGCCAGTGGCCTGGTACTTGTCACCAGTGCATCATGAGGTGATTGCATTGGCTGGACCTGCAGTGTTCTTTGTGCTTGCTGTACAGGAGTATCAAGTGCTC